AGTAAGGTTTACTTAGTAATATAGTAGTAGGATAGAATAGCTAAGGTAAAACTAAGAGTATAGTATATAAACTATATATAAAGTGTATAACTAAGAGAAACTTAATTATTTATACATAAAGTTAGCTACGAAGGAGAGATAACTATAGAAAGTATAGAAACTATATAGTTAAGGAGATTTATACGGCTCCCCCTAGCTCTACTTAGCCTTAAGAGCCTAATAGAGTACCTAGCTCTCCCTAGATCTATTTAGGCTTAGGAGCCTAATAGAGCTAGTTACGTATAGTTCTACACTCTAGTACTATTCCTTAGTACTGACTATATATACTCTCCTTTTATACCGTTACTCTCCTTAGTACTCCTTCTACCTTAGGCCTTCTCGCGGCCCCCCTTTAGCCTATTTATAATAGTAAGGTATTAAGGTATCTAAGGTATTAGAGATTAGTACACGCCTAAGTAGGTTTTTTCTCCTTAGTATATAGGTAGGTAGGTACTATAGGGTATATAGGGTATATTATATGACTTATTATATTATATTCCTAAAAGAAGTAGAGGCTTCTTAACTATAGTCTCTACTAGTTAGTAGCTTTACCTATACTCACTATCCCTATATAATTAGCTCCTACTTAGTATATATACATATATAATATTTCGTACTACTTTTACTTACTAACCTTCCTATACTAGATAAAGTCTAGTTTATCTAAGATAAAGAAATAACTAGTACTACCTAGTTAGTCTAGTTAGTTTACCATTTATAGTGTATAGTATACGTAACTATACCGCGAGGTTAAGTTAATCTATATATATATGGATACCAAGTAGACATTCATTCAGTTAATAAGGAGCATAGAGGGGGCGCGTACGCGTAGCTAATGAAACGCGTTAGGTATACCTAACGGTCCCTATAGTGGCTGATTGTGAAACTAGGTCGGGGCGAGATAATATCTTTCTATAGGGCATTCCCGCCTACATTAGTAAGACGGTAACTAAAAATAAGGCGCACGCTGTACACCCTAAAGCTACTGATACGACGAAAGTGATGTATGCCGCGTTCGCGAGGTAACCGGATTATACTCGAGGCTAAAATTAGGTATACTAAGGATTATTATTCCGATTGGTCGCCTAACCGTCTGGAGACCACCTAATATCTATGACGACATTCTGAAGGGCGCTAAAGTATACTATAGTATTGCTCCGTTAAAGGCACTAGTCCCACTAGACTGAATGTATTTATCAGGAATACCTTATTAGAGATAGGTAGTACTCAGCGATAGATAGATTCCGTGGTAATAAGTATCCCTTTACGTAGAGTAGTGACGAGACTCGAAACATGAGAAAAGGATACTTCTCGGGTGCGAGAAGTATACTTTTCTCTTCCGGTGAGTATACGGCCTAAAGTAGTTTAGACTGGCTTAGGTTAGTTCCGAGCTATTCAACCCCTTTTCCTGAAGGCCGCGTAGGAGGGTGCTTCCCCCCTCTGAGTAGCGTGCTCCTCGCTCTGTTTGTGATATTTACTCGAGGGGAGAGCCCTATCTTACTAGTGTATGTCAACCCACGCAGGGAGTAAACATAGAATAATAGAAGGTATTCGACACCTTACTAGTCAGCAGTCCCGCTAGTCGGCAGCCCTAGTGAAACCCGTCGATATCTCAACATTTTCCAACAAATGAGTGCTCTTTGCCGTCCAACAGCAGTTCTCCTTTAGACACGGCGGCCTCCTCACTCTTCATATACTCCTCCGCATCGCACGACCCTACGCGTTACGTAATGTATGATATTACACCGATCCCTGCTGTCTATATCCATACCTTACTGGTGGTTATATAGTCGCGTCGGCGTTCCGTCGTGATTGGGTGATTGCTTAGTAAGACGCGACGAAGTCGAGGAGAGGCTGGGGAGGCGGAGAACTAATCGATCTATACAGAAACATAGGTGGCACAGCAACAGGGGTGGCTTCGGCGACCTACCTGTCACTGCTTGGCACGGCGTCTTCTACCGTCCTTCTTGGCTTCGATTCCGCGAGGTCCGAAGACCGGTTAAAACGCAGAACACGAGAAAAGAAAGGAGAACGCTGAGAGAACAAACAGGAAGAAGCTTACGGTAAGGGAAGGTAGTCGATGACCTACTGTCTAGTTTCACTAGGACTACCCGACTGACTGACTCAGGAAGAAGAGATAACCACTATAGCCTTCCTCCGAAGGTAAGAAATATACTCGCCTAAGAAGCTCTCGATCTGTAAGAGAAGTATCGTATAATACTTTCGAGAAGAGATATCTAGAGAGACACGTGATACCTACATAGGTGTTTAGTATCTGACAGAATTTTTAGCTAGTAGGATATACATTCGTTAAAAAAGATGAAAAATGGAAGGGGAAAAAAGAGAAATATCCTAACGATACATAATGCATATACATTCCGGCCTTCCGAGGTAGGGATATTGGGCTAAGGATTATAAAAGTCCCCGAAAACCCCACTAAGTCATGGTAATACCTAGCCTACTCCCGGAATTTCCTAGTAGTTTTAGCGGTTCCTAGTAAACTTACTTAATATCTTAGCGATATCTAGCTATTCTAGTAGGTTCTAACATCTAAAAGGATAAGCGTAACTCCTTATAGAAGAATAGTAAGCCTTACTTATAGGGTAAGAGTAGTTCCTTTTTGTAGGGTATAAGTAGCTCCTATAGACCCCGGTCGAGTTCAGCCTTACGAGTTCCGAAAGGCCTCATTAGGTAGAAACGAGTTCTAGCTCTATAGTTCGAAGAGCCTTACAAATTTCTAATTAATATTAGTAAGTAAGAACAGTACTTACCTTACCTTTTAGTTACGTAATATAATACTAGGCCTAAATAGGCTAGTATATCACGTCACCTAAGGCACTAAACTAAATTAGGTAGGAGGCCTTAAGTGGTAATATTCTAAATATTAATAATATCGTTAACAAAGCCTACTAATATAGTCTGGAGACTCTCGTTATTTAATATTATTAAGTCTATAGTGTAGAATATTAAGATTTAGGTTAATAGCCTAATCAGGCTTGGCGCCTTTATCACGTGATTAGTAGAGTCCTAGTTGCCTGAATAGACCTAGTACTAGGCGACGTCATCGCTTACGTCATAGTTATGTCATTACTACGTCATAGTTATGTCATCGTCACGTGATCGTTTACTAATAGCGATTCGAGGGATTTTTTCTATCTTCTATTATCGCCACTTATTATCTATAGAAGGGCACACTCTCTCTCAGATAGATAGATCTAACAAGACTTCCACAACCTAAGTTATGAACCTAACGATCGCTACTAACCTTTCTAACATATAGTTAAGAGGTAGAGTATTAGAGAGCTTAAAAAATTCTAGAGAATACTCTTAGTTATAAGTTAAAGAGTAGAATTGATTAATCTTCCTTTTCTTATATCTATTTATTTATCTAGAAGTAGATAATAAGTTTTAACTAGTTCTAATCGTCTTCTAGCGTTTATAATCTTAAGAGGTTTTCTGCTTATATTAAGAAGATTATTATTCTATAGATCTTTATGAAAATATAATTAACTTTATTTAGTTTCCTAATAATAACTATAATGACTTATTTCTACTCTTTAGAGTAATATTTTAGTTATAGTATAACTATAAATAGTAGAACGAGATATAGAATAAGGTAGGTTATAATAGCCTAAATAATAGAGTTTAGGATTTAATCTAGTCTAGAACCTTTTCTACTTATACACTTTTATATTACGAAGTAAAAATTGTCCAGGTTTCAAGTCTTCCCGCACTTGGCGATTTTATATTGGGGAATTTCAACTACCTTGCTGCCTAAGGTGGGCGTAACTCAGCTACCACGATTCTACCTCGGGCGTATATTTTTCTGATATCGTGCCTTACGAGTTTCTTACAAGACGTCGCGGCCGCCCGCATTATTTTCTTTTCCTTTTTCTGCCAACTCCGTGTTCTACTAACTCTCGCAAAAGGATCTCCTCCATCGGGGTACTATGTGACCCACCGATTTCAGTCATTCACAAAAGAGTCTCTTCGATCTCGATACTGTCCGGCTAGTTAATTCTAGTCATTCGCGAAAGAATCTCCTCCATCTTGTCATTAAGGGGCCAATTCATTGCAGCCGTTTCGCAGATGCCTCTTCCATAGCACGGCTCCGGACAACAGACGGTGGCGACATGTTTGCACGCTGGCGGCCCGCCACGGGTACCGGGGTACCCCCCCACCTCGAAGTATATCTACTCCGAAGAAGCATATCTAAACCGAAGCCCAAGTCCCTGCTCCGCTTTTATTATCTTCAAGGCCTCTGATAGGCTAGATTAAAGGCTTCTGATAGGCTCAAACCTTATGGGTTGGCTCGACCAATAGGACAATGGCCCTTACTCCAACAATACTCGACGCGGTGATTGGCCGACCCCTACTCCAATAATAGTCGACGCGATTATTGGCCGCGAAGCCATGTAAAGGGAGGGGACAGAGATCCTACGATACTATCGATTCTCGAAGGATAGAGAGGAGCATGTGCGGTTTTTTCCAGTCCACGTCATGTCTTTTTCCAAAGTAAGCTGAGTAGGATGCTTTAGCCGTCTTGTCTCCCCACCCTTCTTTATCCTGATTCTTCTTCTTTAGCAATTACGTAGAGCGTACCATTGGTCGTTCCCATCATGTTCCCGTAACTGGCCTTTGCATTTCTATCGACCCTCGAAAGATCGGGAATCGACCTGCACGCTATTTGAACCTTTCACCGCATCTCGGGCCATCAGTGAGGCGATCAGGAAGTGACGGGTTGGACACAGGCGAGAGATCTGTGACAACCATCGCCCATTCGCTAGAGGGATATATGAAACGGAGGAAAGGAGCAGCCTTTCTCTTCACCTCGACAGCCGAGCTGGAAATTTTCCTGAAAATGGCCTTTGACCTCTGCAAGCGCTATCGCGCGCTCATGCTCATGGAGGAGGGGGACATCTTCCTCTCCAAGCGGGCCGAACTCTCTCGAGTACAACGCCATGGTGAGCGTGTTCCTGCGCCTGCTGAACGACTTCCCCGGCCTGCTCAGCGTAACTACGAACCGTTACCACACTTTTGATCTCGCTGTGAAGATCAGGGTCAGCCTGGCAGTCAAATACGTCGCGTTGGAACACGACCACAGCCGTGAATTGTGGCGCAGACAGCTCGTCGAACAGGAGTGCGGCGAGCAGATCACAGATGACCACTTGGATACGCCGGCCAAGCATGATCTCAACGGGCGACAGGTAATGTGGACCCTTCTCCTGACAGCTGACACTTGAGTGGCGGAAGCGACCAACTTATAATGCCTGTCCAGATTGTGCACATTCTGGGTGTAGCCACTGCTGTGGCTCAATTCGAAAATGGAGAGCTAGTCATGTCCCACATCGAGGTCGCGATCAAGGCCTCTGAGGATGAAGCCGAGGAGGGTAAACATGAAGATCAGTACTAGGAGTTTTACGTGGGTGTGGGTGATGGCAAGAAATTTATCCCGGTCCAAACCACTATTATGATAATGAATAATGGCCCTAGTAAGGGGGTGTCTGCGCCCCAGGTTGCAACGACCCAGGTTACAACGATCGTCCCCACAATCAGTCTCAGGATGAGGCCGGCCTACCAGCGGTGGCAGAGGAGGCAGACTAGACTCCGCTAGAACAGGCAAACAGTCCTGCGGCAGATATGGCCGCCGAACTGTTGTTGGCGATGGAGGAGCCGAAGGAGGAGCCGCAGTGATGTTTTCATTTGCACCAGGCTGGATTCTGCGGCAGGACGTGTCGGACACACTTTCCTGTCGATTTCTGTATCCCTTTTATGCAGGAAACATCTGGACAGGGAGGGGAGAATAGTTTGTCAAATCACAGATGGACCAGGTACACGTACCGAAGATAGTCAAAATGAACTAATAATATTATTTCTTTACCACGGCGCGCCGGATGTGACATGTCACAGGCAGGCGGCGCAAGGGTCTGTCTCAGCCCCGTGACTGTTTTTCCGAAGCGAGCTGGCCCCTCCTCCAATTGACCCATCGTAATCCTAGCCTCTCGTTCATGTCCGTCGCTGAATCCAGCATGCCGAGTCCGAGCTGCTGCCTCCGCAGAAGCGCGAGGCCTCCATCTCCCAACCAACGTCGCGCATCCCTAGCCGCGTTGATGCACCTCTCGCTAGATGTGGTAATGCATGTCAGGGCCTGTGCGGCCGCTAGGCTAGTAGCAGAGCAGAACGGGCTTACTGACAAGGATAACGCTACACAGATGATATAAAGGACGATTTCACTTCAGCCGAAGGACGGACATCAGCCGTAGCACTCGACATGATAATTCGACGAACCGAATCGCGTGCGGTCAGCGGAGAACACGCCCCTTTTAACATGTGGGTATCCACGGTTTGTTGACGGACAATTCTTCTGGGCAGTCGCGGACGGACGCGAGACCGATTTTTAGGTCCACGTATATCTCGCGCGGGGTAGTTCAGACTAGGGTCGCCGTCCGGGCCGGGGGAGCTCAAGCTGGGGAGCGGGAGCGACAGGGAGGCTGGGGCCGTACTAGCGCCCTCGTGCTCTGCGAGGGCTGTGCCGTGCGGGCTCTACTGGCACCCAAGGTGCTGGCCCGAAAGCTTGGGCAATAACATCGGCAGAGCGTTGTGGGTGCGGTGCTGCTTCAGGACAGCCGAAATTGCGTCTCCGGCATCTGTGTAGGTTTCTACAGCTGTGTACGCGCTCAATGGTGCTGCTGTGGACGCGTCTAGTGGTGCTGTTGTCTCCCTACGCTGTGGTGCTACTGTCTCTATGCTCACTGGCGCTGCTGGCTTCGTGCTCAGTGGTGCTGCTGTAATCGTTTTCTTTGGTGGAGCGAATTTCCCGACTTGCGGTGGGGCAAAATTGCCCATGGGTGGAAGTTTCGGGCTTCTCCCAGACCTCCACAGTTCTGCTTTCGGAAGGCTGGTCGGGTATTATGACCTTCCTCCTCTTCGGCGAAGGACGAAGGCTCTGCGCCGGTAGGTGGATCTGTAGTGAGAGCGAAGCGTTGCCACCGGGTGCCTGGACCGGATTTGCCTTCCTCTTCTTCGGCGAAGGACCAAGGCTGTGCGCTGGAAAATGAAGTTTTAATGAGAATTTAGGAGGGTGGACCCCGGACGCCCGGGTGGGCTTTTCCATCTTCTTTTCCCTGGAGAGTTGATGCCTGGCTCCGGAAGACTGTCTCCCAAGGGGCTTGGAGGTTCGGCGTTGGAAGTCTGGACGGGCATTGTCTTCCTCCTCTTTCTTGGAAGACCTTGGCCGGTTCCCTCGAGAAGGCGCTCTAAGTCGCCAAAGTTCCGCTTCGCCGTCGCAGCGGCACCAGCGCTCAGAATGCCCCTTCAAGACACGATCCTCTACGCGGGCCGCTGTTGTCTGCTTCTCAGGTTCTACCAGCTTCTTCTTCTTGCAAGGCTCGTACAGGCAGTCTTGGTTTTTGTTCCCCCAGAACTCGTCGCCGTAGCTAATGGTCATCTCCTCGCCCTCGGCGTGATAGTGGCGGTTAACAACCTTACCAACACATTTTTCTCCCATGACCTGAAGCTCCGCGTTGGGATCGCAGCTGCGGTTTATGAGATGCGGAGGATCCGTCAACAGGCTCGTACGAGATAAACTTGTCTTGTCGAGAACGCTGAAGTCCTTCTTTCTCTTCGCCAGCTTCTGGATCTCCTCCTCGGTCAGGGGAACGCGCCTATCGAAGAGGTTATCGATTGTCTCACCCTTTGAGATGTGTCACGTCGCGATGACGCAGGCTTCCCCCCTTGGATAGGTATTTCGTCGTACTGCCGACTCGGAACGCGTTTCCTGGCAAGCTAGCCTTCAAGTAGGCCGGTAGAAGGGCCTTGAAAGCCTTTTGTTGTCTTCCATGGCCGGCTTTCTTATCATGGAAGCCCCTCAAGCCTCGAGACGCAAGGAGCTCATGCAGCACTAGTTCCTTTTATCATGGTATTATCGAAAATCGTCGATAACAGCCCTGATCTTCGTTGAATCCGGCTTCCATTGTTCAATGTTATGAACACCATATTTGAGGCTTTACACTGGAGAACACTCGGGGTTTCCCTCGAGCGAGATTGTCAACAATAGAGCAGCAAGTGTAGAAATTAACTCACATTGTCAATGAATACTTCGGTGAGGATATCCACAGTGCGAAGAGCTAGATTGGTCGTAAGATCTGGTGTCCAAGTCTTCGTGACCGAACGCGGGCCTGTCAACAGCGTGTCACGATCCAGAGAACTCAAAGACGAGTCGGACGCATCACAAACAGCTAGCTGTTCTTCCAGGACCACTATTCACGGCAACGGCTAGTGGGCTGGGATCGCGTCAGGCAATCGATAGCTGCACGCCGAACATGTATGAGCATTGCCATCCGGGAAAATAAAGGCAGGAAAATAAAGGCAGGTGTGGGAAAGGCTGCGGCAGGGTCTTTATACTTCCCGAGACAAGGCTGTGTCTTGCGGCGGACCATTCCGCCTCAAGGCCTCGGGACATGGCGCGCTTCTGCCTTTCAAACAAAGAAGGCAACAAAGTGCTCATACGCATGGGGGGTGTAGGGGAGGGAGGTGGTTGGGGTTTGAATTTGGATGATGATTTTGAACCTCATTGGCTCCAGCTTGTGACATTGAACCTGATTGGCTTCTTGACCGAGCCGACATTTTGCCGAAGTCGAGATACTGCTGGCGCCACAGCAGAGCCGCATAGGGCTATCACGTGACCTTCACGGCTCCCACGTGATCTCAGGGACCTTTTTCAACCCCCCCCCCCTGCCTTGTGCTGTAGTAACATTTCGTTCCCGTCATGTGGTCATGCTCATGTCAGGTCTTCTCCACTGCTGTTTCGTGATAGCTTCCTCTTCATCAGTAAGTCAGATATGGGATAGTTCGAGTATCAAGTGAGGCCGTAGGGCAGTGGGCCCGCGGTCGTCGGGCAGTCGAGGCAGTTGGGTCGGTGATGTGTTGGTTCTCGGATGCACGTACCACCCTCGGCGATCCCCTTGTGCCACCCAATTCGCCGAACTCTCTCGGCGTACGGAGTACGCAGCCTATACAGATCAAAACACCCACTGGCTCATAAGACATTCCAACCCCCCCCCCCAACTTTCTTTCGTTCTCTGTCGTCTAATTTGCCCACCGTTTCCTACCCACGTTTCTTACGCGTCGTTTCTAGGCCGTGTTTTCGTATTCTTTAATCCTCGCTCCCTTGCACTACCGCTCGTTTCTAGATCCTACATTCTTTTGAATGGAGTACTAAGTCTCTCATCGGCGGCCGAACTCTCTTTCGTAAACCTACTTGATCAGAACCAGGATCGAAGCGGCCAATTCAGTCCCCTGACTCCGCTGGAGGAGTTTGGTGCCTGGTGGGAGGTAGGAACGGAGGGCCTGGAAATCAATCATGGCGACGGCGAGTGTAAGATATTTTTCAGCAAAACGTTTGAGCGCAAATCCAAAGATGACGTCCATACCATGGTGTTTGAATACAAAAACTTCTTACTCGAAGAAGCGGCTTTTGGCCTCGAATTCGCGGGGTTTGACTTCGTGACGGCGACTGGACTACCACTCTACCCTGGCACGTACAGCAAGCATGATGGCGAGGTCGAACCATATTTCTTTCCAAATCTCATTGCATACACGGCCGGAGAGCCCCAACCTCAAGTCCCTCTCGGCCTCGACTCCATCCCAGTCTCTCCAAGCGACATGGAGATGAACCACGGAGGCACCGCTCGCAAGACCGAAGATACGTCAGCGAGTGCGAGCACGAGTGCGAAGCCGAACCATTGCTACTTCCAATTTTCGGTGCGTACGAATCCGGAGAGCCCGAACCCGTAGATTTTTCCAGCCCCGATTCCGCCTCATTCTCTCCGGAGACAAGAAAGAGAAAGCACTTTTGCGATTTCGAGGTTGGATGAGCTCCCCAATACAATAGCGTTCTACATTAATATCACTACCATGTCACTAGCTCTGAAAACACCCTTACCCAAAGTGGTAGTGGAAGACACTGCGATGGAAGGGCGACGAGCAAGGGAATGGCCATCCCCTTTCCTCATCTCGCTACGTTTAGGAACAGCGCCCTCATCGCAGCCACTGACATGGCTAACGCCAGTGACCCTGCAGCGACCGCCCTGGCCACCTTAAGAACTTCCAACGAGAAAATAACATATACCGCACTGTCGGAATCGAGTCAAGTACCTTTGTCGACATTGTGGCATCGAAATCATGGACGGCAGTCGAGGAAACAAGCGGCCGCCCATAAGCAGTATCACACCCCCTGCAAAGAAAAGGGCCCTCGTCGACTATCTCCTTCGAGCCGCCGAACGAGGCTTCCCCATTCCCCTCAAACTCCTACTTCTTTTGGCACATGTCATCGCCCGTCCGCGCTCCTCTCCATCCTCGATCCCGGCAGCCGATGTCGAGCTGGAATCTCCACGCAAGAACTGGCTTCGAGGCTTCCGTTCCCGCCACCCGGAAATCGCAGCAAAGAAACCAAGGCCTCTGGAATGGGCGCGAAATGACATAGAGGGAGCTGCATAACCCGACCATCCTGCCCGAGAACGTCTATAACATGGATGAGACGGGTATAATGTTCGGTGTCCTAAAGTCTTAAAAGTTTTTCGTCAAAAGCCATAACTCGAGAAAGGATAGAGGAACGTGTCACGGACCTGGTCCCTTAGCACTAGTGCCACCTGGGACTGATCTCTTTGCACGTTGATCACGTGCCACTTGAGATATTGTTCACACAACAGAACCTCAGCCTTTTTAGATAGTCCTTCGTACTGCAATTTCAATCAGTTCATTGCCTGTTGAGGCTGTTCGCATCGATTAGATCTGCGACCGTGATAGAACGGGAGTAAATCGGACGTTAGTGACCGCGGCGGAATGCATCTCGGCAGATGGGAGGTCCCTTTCTCCATTAATCATCTGGTCTTCATCCACCAGTCGCAGTGCTTGGACCACCGACCTAACCCCGGAGTAGTATTTTGCAGGCTCGCCTAGTGCCTAGACAAACCGTGACACTGTATTGGATTGGTATCGTCGCGTGTTTGATCCCCAGACCAAGGTACGGGCCAATGGCCGACCGCGAATCCTGATCAATGACGGTTTAGGACCCCACGAGTCCCTCGAAGTGTTGCAGTTTTGTCATGAGAACAACATCATTCTGTGTCGACTTCCGTCTCATACTTCTCACAAGCTGCAACCCTACGGTATCAGCGCATTCGAGCCTCTGCAGACGGCTTATCGGGAGCTGGTGGAGAACTTGTTCCGTGGAGGAGTAAACACTATCGGTAACCAACATTTCAGTTTGCTTTACAGCCAAGCTCGCCATACGGCATTCACCACTCGGAACATCAATTCGGGATGGGCTAAAGCTGGACTGACCCTTTCAATCCCGACCGAGTGCTTCGAGTTGTCGAGAAACCACCGGAAGTTGTGGCGAATAATGGCTCCCTAGACACATGTACCAAAACGACGAGCCGCTAAAAACTCCGGTGACCGCCGCAAACCTGGCTTCGTTGCGCCGGATGATGGAGTAGGAAATTCACGGCCTCGATGATGACAGTCGGTATTATTTCCGAAAATTTGCCAATGCTGCTCAAAGGTTTGTGACAGCGCGTGATCTTCTCTCGCAGGAAAACCCAAGACTTGGTCAAGCAAAACAACGGAAAGAAAACCAGAGCCTCGAGCTCTACTCTTGTTGGAAGGGGACAAATTATGAGCCATGAAAACATTTTAGACATGCAGAAGACGCGTCAAGAGCAAGAGACTGGCGGACGCAAACGCGAAAATTGGGGGTCTGGGTCTCGGCACCCGAAAGGAAGTCACTTGTGCCAAGAAACGGAAGACGCGCGGCGCGGAGTCCGGGCGTCGGGGGTGGGGGCTTTCTGTTCGGTGTTTTGGGCGTCAAACCTTTCTCTTGTAAAGCTAAATTACCGTACCGTTGGCGAAGTCCAAGCAAGTCACTGTACTTAGCAAAATCGAGTTCTATTCGAAAATGACTTTCAGCACCCACCAGTCCAAAGAAAGTCGTCATGATGCGGCTTAAAAGTGTGGGCAGAACCACCCTCCCTTCCTTCAAGCGACGCACTCATTACCAGATTTGAGAAGCGCTGCCAAACGGGATGCAAAGTCACAAACCCAGGCCTCCGACTGATGTTCCCCCGTCACATGACGGAGAAGTGGAAACAGGAATGTGCAGGATCGAATCCACGGGTCTGGAAAGTTGTTGTTCCATTTGGCGATTGTGATTGTCCTTCGAGCTCTCGTTGGATTTGCTACATCCTAGGTATCGCGCGATATGTGGATCGCCCGGCGCCGTCTACCGTGGGTGTCATGCTGGATCGAAATGGCCTCTTGTTATCTTTCGGCTCGAAATGCTGGGGGGATGTGGATTTGTCTGAACACGAGGTGCTTCACAATACCAAATAATATGACAGGCATGAGATTCCATTGACATGCCACTATTTTGAGAGCATCGTGATACCTTGCGCGCGCATCGCTAGTATTCCAAAGTTCCCCAGTTGGAACTGGCAAATCTTGACCGCTGGCCATGTGACGGCTAGAATGTCTCCTTGTCATCATCCCAGATGCCAGCATCCCGCATAGCCTCCTGCCAGCCGGGCTCAGCAGTCCTGGCTTTATCCTGGGCCGCCTTTTGCTTTTGAACCAGTGCCTGAACCTCCTGAAAATTCCTGAACCATTCCAGCCTCGAGTCGCGCGTCTCAACCAGTTTCATAATATACGTGTATCGATTGGTGTAAAGGGCATTCATCACACGGCGGGGATCGCTTCTGTATAGTTCGTATGATCGCATCATTTTGATGAGCTCATGCACTAAACGAATCTCGAGTCAGTTACTTTGGGTTCATATCGCACGGCCATATCAACGATAGTCAACAAAGTATGCGGACGTACCGTCCAACTGATTCTTCAGCAGTGGTTTAAGTGATTTCCCGAAGTTGTACGCATCAACGTGAAACACTAGAACGCCATTCTCCTCCCAGTACATGGCAGTCCTCAGAAGATCTTCTTCGATGACCGGCTCGGTGCCGTTTGTTTCGGCCATTATTGAGGTCAGTTTCGGTGTTGAGAGAGTCAATAAAGATTGAGCTGTTGGAGATGGATGCCGCACTCGCCACGAAAGGTGATAATAGAGGCGTGGTGATTGCCTGGAATAGTGGGGCCGAGGACCTTAGTAGAAATTCTCGCGTGGATAATAAAGGAGGAAGAGACGGGAACTTGGGAGAGGAGCCGTTTATGTAGTTGACCACTGCCCGAACAAATCACCACACAGCCTCATGCGCTCCTGGAATTGGGGGCTCTCGTATTGGCGTGGGCATGTTATTGGTTGGCATGTTCTGGTTCGCCAGCATGCCGAAGGTGGCTAAGCCGCCTGGCTGTGCTCCAACAGTCGAATTGGATCAGGACACTTCAACTCTGGACGCACGGGCTACACTACAGAACTGTTCAGCTGTAGAAAACGAAACTTTGGTCCCTCTCTACGTCCTAACAGTGCTCAAAGTGCATTGCTTGGTACCATATTTCTGTCGTCGTAGAGGACGCAACCGCAACACTCGAAGCCACAGATCTTCTGCACGGGCACCGAAGAGCTCTGAGGTCCAGCTTCCGGATCCCATCGTATGACCTACAGTTGCGTCCTGGCCTGGCAATCGCCGATGGGGCTAGCTAGAGTCCGACCAAATTCCACGCCGCATCGGGAGAATCGCTCCAACGGTGTACTGGGAGCAGTCGGTGTGGTCTGTTGGCAAAATTGCTTTAGTCTCCCCTCTCTTAACATTGTTTCGAGGTAAAGTTTCTCTTAGTCACCCACTCTTACTGTACCCTCTTTATGTCTGGTCATCCGGTCTTGAATTGTTGGGAGAGAAGGGGTCGATAGTAGCGAGGGACATGCAGTATAAACATCAGGTGAGGTGAAACCATAAATCCAAAGTGCCGTCAATGTGCGTGGGTTGGAACACAATGCTGGAACAATCTGTTTGTAATCGTCTTCACATGAATGAGACTAAGTGGACGCTGGATCCTAGGAGGATACACTAATTCGCAGGCTTCGATTTTGATAGGTATCTTGAGGTACTTCACGCAGAGTTGTCAGCGCATCAGTGTTCGAATTGAGAGTATCTTTAACATGGGTTCCGATAGAGCAACGAGAAAAGAGCAGAGTTCTCCAGACTAAGTCACAGCTTAGTGCTGTACATTTTGAGGATCTCACTGCTTTGAAGGTCCGAATCCAAGACCACTTTGACCGCTCGGAAGACTGTTTTTGGGTGGTCATAGCTCGATACTTCGACATTCGACGTTTGTCGAAAAGGAATTGGTTGAGGTCACCATACTATCTCAAGAGGGAAAATTGTTGAGTTGTTTCGAAGCGCAGGCTGCTGCCAAGAACAATAATGTGATCAACCGGAAATTCGATCAACATGTTTCGCACCAATCAAGCAGGGTGTCACGGTGTGCCAAGCCTTCCCTGGAATCCCACACGTGATCCTGAGAAGTGCCAAGAACGCACACTGTACTCCTACTTATCGCATGCTGGGAGCTGTCTTACCGAAAACTCTCCCAACACTGTGGATAAGTTCTATATTACCTCCTGTAGCTGCCATCTATCAGTTGGCTCGCAACCTATATTCTTATATCTACTGGTGGCCTCTCTGGGAGCCCTAACACAGGGGCATTTGCCCAATCAGGGGAGCACACGCCTCTTTTAAGCGCCCACAGCATGGGACCTAGTTTTTGACGTTTGGCAGATTTTCTGGCTCGACCAGCGACATCGGATTCCTCTGCTCTACGCTTTTTCTGGGCAACCGCAAGGTCATCGACTCATCATAAGCCAACTGGCGTGAGTTTAGGGGCGCCCAAATGTGGCGGGTCTCCGCGCGCTTTACACCGCCACAGCTGAGGCACTCCAAGGCGCCAACACGTGACCGCCTTCCTCAACCGCGTCGGGCCCTCACCGCTCGGACCACGTCTAATCCACTATTTATAGTGGGACGCCCAACCCCCTCTGGCGACCCATCGCTACTCACCACCCTCAAGCCGGAGCCTAAATCAAGGCGGTCATAGTGAGGCGGCCATCAGTCAACCATACGACAACACATCAATAGGCGACTGCCAAGGACACGAGAAAGACACGAGTAAAAGCCCCCAGCGCCCAGACGCACGAGACCCCCAGTGTCGTTCAAAAACGCCCCCATGAGAGGCTCTCCAGCGCGAGCGAGGACGTATGAATGGACGGACGCCGCGGAGCAGCTGGCCACGTCACCTTTGGCGGCTCGGAGAGATTCAGGCCGTTGTTTTGGTGGGGTGGTTCAGGCGAAGCAGTCGTGAGTCATTGTGTCACCGTAAGGCGTTCGAGAGAGGGTGGCTGCCTTGTGTCAGCAGCGCCTTAGTACAGCCCTGAAAATATCGAATGCGATGTCTGCGCGTCGCACCGGCGCCCTAAGTTGGCACTTTCGAAGATGAAGATGCGTTTGGTTTTTCATGACACGTAGGCAGCAATGCAACATGCAGTGCGCCAGCGAAACGCCCTACTTGTGAGCAAGGCGTAAAATGCCGACCTCCTACTCGTCGCCTGCCCTTTTTAAGGCTCACGCTGAGCCTCAAAATGCGAGTCGGTGAGTGCAATCATGGGCTGTTGCCTAGTTGGTTGGTGCCCGACCCAAGGCCATACCAACCCTCTAGAGGGCTTGCGGCTCATGGCCGTCGTTTCAAGTCGGGCTTGTTTATCTTCCCTTGGTGTTGATGTTTGAGACTATGGCTGATTAGTATATAAGGGCCGTCGTGTTCCTTTCTTGATCCGTCCTCTCGTTCACACCACCTGCACCAGTGCTTGTTCTCGACATTGGCCGACCGCCACACCCTTCCAAGAACAATGGCCTGTCGTCCCAAGCAGCCCCCCGAGGCTGCAGCCGGTGAGGAGCCCGACGAGATCATGAGACCGACTTATGGATCTATCCAGGTCCCCTACCCGACCAGAGGGGAGGAGGCTGGCGTGCCAACTGATCCCGAGACGCTGTTGAAGTTGCTCCCCTCGCTCATCAAGATGGAAAAGTATTCTACCATATTTGACTGGTCCAGAGCGGTGAGATGCTTCGTCCTCCTGGAGCACAAGTTGCCTAGGCACGCGCGTACAGCGTTGATGGCGGTATGCTTCAAAGTGGGCTTGGCGCCCGGCATGGAGATCTCGGCGAAGTCAGCGTTGACTGGCACGGTAGTCAACCTCTGCAGGTGCGTGTGGCCCCAATTCGGGTTCGGACTTTGCTCTCCAGACGAACTAACCTTCACTCTGCGGTGGTAGGGGAATCGACGGAGAATTGGTCCTTCGTCCCACCGACGTCACTCTCGACTGGCTGCCGATTTTTGAGCAGCTGCGGTTCGATGCTTTCAGCCGCCGAGACACCATCTTTGGTTGGAATGAGACTTACGACGTCTGCACGTACGCGCGAAAATTCTTCGATCCAGCGGACCGGGTGGCTATCCTCGAGAAGGCTCTGACCCTCTTCGACACGGCTCATTTATACAAGGCAGACGATGTGGCCCGGATGCTCGGGTTGCTGTTGCCGACGACCGTTGCTCCAGAATCGCTCCCTCACTGCCAGCCATCCGCGCTTCTCCCGACCCTCTTTTCCCTCCTCGCATGGGTGGGACCGAGGAACGGGGCGACCTCATACATTGTGGAGCTCATCTCCCAGTTCGCCGTCCATCACGTGGGCTGCGAGCACAGCCCTTTCGGACGCTACGGTATTTTCGACGAGCCGAAGGCCAACCAGATGTATACGACCATCTCCCGTCAGATTCTGATCGACAACGACGACGAGCATGGCGATGGCGCCTTTGAGGAACCGCCCATTCGATCGGCTTCCAGCGATTGGTTCGCCCTATCGGTTGCCCGGTGGATTGTCTCCTCGCTCTCGCCCCTGTGCCTCGGCGAGGAGAGTTCCATGTTGTCGCTCCTGGAACGCTTTATCGCAGCCATTCGCGGCCTATGCCACCCACAATCCAAACGGCAGGCGGAGTCGGGCTTTGTCGGCCAGGTCCTTCAGTATCTGGCCTCGGAATTCTGTAAGCGGTACAACGGGGAGCGTCGCGGGCAGCTGGCGGTGCCACCACCACGGCGGATCAACGACAACCTAAAACAACGGTTTGTCTTCTTGCTGACTGAGCCGGTTCTCTTGGGCTGCTTTTCGCCGTCGTCCAAGATGAGCAAGCCCTGCCTCGACGCCATCAAGAGCCTGGCCGCTCTCGAGCCCCGTCTCGTCATCCCCGCCGTCCTGCAACACTTCTACACCAGCCGGGACAGCCAAGTCGACGGCGATGTGGAACTCTTCAGCTGGCGGGTCCTGCTCGCGTCGTGCAGCGCCATCGCGCAAGAAAGGTGGGCGAGATGCCATCTGCCGGCCCTGATGGGGGATGCCCTGTACGGCATCGACGCGAGCAGGCTGCCGCTGACGAGCGTTGTCTGCCAGTTCATCCGAGTGGCAGTTTGCTTTCTTTCCTGGGCGCATATTGCCAAGTCGGGCAAGTCCGAGGGTTTCGACCTCTATCACGATCACGATCAACGCTTTGACGGGGAAGAGGCTGAGGGGAAAGACCCTGAGAGGGAAGAGATCGAGATGCTCCAGTCCCTCTTCCGCGGCTTCGGAGAGTTCACCAGGCAGTTCCTCGACCGTGTGCTTGGCTTCTTGTCGAATACGGCCGGTTCTGACATCGACGCCGAAGGCGAACGGGACGCTGCCAACGAAGCCGCCGTAGATGCGGCAGCAGAGTGCCTCCTGTCGCTGCCTCCTGACTCTGACATACTCCACGAACGCATGCAGCAACTGAGCGAGTTTGTCGCATCAAAGGCGATCCCCCGAGCGGGGACGACAGTGGCACGCCTTGTCATGGCTGCGGTGCAAGCGAACCCACAGAAAGGCATCGACACGTTCGTGCCCATGCTGATCCGGCATATCCAGAGCGAAATCACGACCACTCACTGGATGGGCTCCGACCGCCATGACTTGCTATCGGTAGATCACAAGCTCTCCTGGTACGCCAACGTCCTCGGCATGTGCCTCCTGCGTGGTGGGCACGGGCTTCTGGGTTACACGACCGCGGTGATGGAACTGGTCGGACTCGCCGAGGAGATCTGTAAACACCGGGCGTCTGCCTTCCGCGGGTGGCTGATCAAGCAGATGCTGCGTGGCTTGACCGAGACCTTTACGACCTCGTACGTGGCCGGGAGGGCAAACCAGCAGCTGGGCCTTGGTGACTGGGGCGAAATAGCCAAGGAGATCCCCTGGCATGTTCCCTCGACCGAGGAGATTCGAGAAGCCTCCGAGATCTTCAAAGCGGAAACCACCTGGCTGGAGAAACACATCCGTACCCTCCTGAAGAGCCACGCTTCCTTGAACGGGGAGGCCTCACGCAAGGCCTGGGTTGACAGCCTCGCCAACGCATTTGGCCACATGAGCGAGGTATTTTGCGGCATGGCGACCCTGTTCGACCCGGTCCAGGCATCCGCTGGCAGCAACGCCAACACCCCCTCCAACAACGATGCCGACGATGAAGCAGACCTTGTTGTGTCGACTCATGCGCGAACGCTCCAGTGCGTGCTAGAGCCCGGTAGCACTATCTATGTCAGTATTCACGAGCAACGGGGCGCCATGCGAAAGCTGGCCGGCGAGGTCCACGGCTTTCTCACCGACATGAAGAAGAAGAAGGAGTATGGCGAGTGCTTCCGGACGCTATACAAATTCTACGAGACCTTCGTTGGCGACGTCGGGTACTGTACCGCGCATCAGGGGAGGCACGCTCCACGCTTCGCGCGCTTTGACTGGGAGAAAGATTTTATAGCCACAGGAGTCTCACCGTCGCATCCTCCGGCTCTCAGTGCCAAGCGCATGGCTTGCTACCATCACGAGCTCCAAGCTTGCGGAAGCGAGCGACGCCGTATGGGTGATCTCGACAAGGAAATACTTCGAGACCTGGTTGAAGGTTGCAGTTCTCCCGACGCGGCTGTTCGCGGAGCGGCGCAGGATGCCCTTCGCCGCTCGCTCAATACATTGCCAGGCTCCGCCAAAGTCTTCCTCCCTCTGATGGTGGCCAAGCTGCGCGAGCTGGTCCGAAGCAGCAAACCCCGGGGCGGGTTCTTCGCCACGGTCTCGCGACGCGGTCTGCGGCAGAGCAGCGACGACGACCCCGGGATTGAAAACGACAAGCACAGCAGGATCGAAAGCGCGCTGCACACACTCATCGAGGTGGATTTGGAGCCAGACGACGACGATAACAAAGGTATGATTCACGCGGTCTGGATGCAAGATTGCCCTCGGCAGACGACCGATCTGATCAATGCTCTGATGGAAACGGCCGCAACCGTGACCGATGCGCCCGAGATATCCAAGCTGGCGGGGAAGGGCATCACGGCATTGAAAACCCCCCTTCTCTGCGAGCGCAGGGCCGTCTCGACGCATGGCATGGTGGAAGATATCTGTGCAGCTGATGACTGTTCGGAGACCATCCTCAAGGCGCGCGAGGCCATCAGAGCTTCTGAGGCTGCGACGGCAAAGGGCCGGCACGAGCTGGGGCTCCAGATGATAAGCAAGGCGACGGATCCGAGAATCTACGACAAATACATCGGCGCCCAGTTCACGGGCTTCGACAAAGACGGCCCCCCCGTCGAATACATCCGCTTCCTCGTCGCCGGTGCCGTCGCGGATTCGGTCGAGCGTCGCAACGAGTGCATCGCCCAGTTTGGCACGCTCATTAGATCCTGCTTCGAAAGAATCCGCCATGGGAACAGTCTCGAGAGTCACCTCCGTACCCGGGATCAAGGGGGACGGGGGCGGGTCCCGATGGACCCCAAAGGGGACGAGACCTTCACCCACAGATTCCTCGCCGGTTCTGAAATGCGTGGCGGGGACGACAGCGGCAGCGACGGCTGGCTTCTCGGTGACAGCGATGACTTCCTTGTGGACGATGCCGGCCAGGGCTCACTGTTGTGGGCCCCATTCTCTGCCTGGCACGCCGACATGCGACTCTCAGACGGCGACCGCAAGACAGATGGCATGCTGGAGAAGCTGGGATCTCTCCTGACGCAAAAATGGTTCGAGACTGTCCTGTCCTTTTCGGATAAGAGCGCGCAATCGAACACCCCGACCATCCATGCGCCCACCGTCGAGCTCCTGACCGGTGTCATCCAGCTGATGGAAGCGGGCAAGACAGTTGCCAAGCTGGAGGGCATGAAAGACCTGGTTGGCAAAGTCCTCGGTGACGGCACAAAGGCTGGCCAGCACATCGCCACGGCGACCTTGCTCCTCGCCCTCATGCACGCTCCCATGTCTCGCGACTTCCGCCGCCGCGCGTTGGAAATTGCGGAGCCTGTGCTGATCGACATCCTTGAGCGGAAGATGGGATCCTATAGCAAGACGTGGTATAGCTTTCTGAAGCTGCTCACGGAAAACTACGACCCAGAGCGATTTCCAGGCCTGGTCAAGTATGTCGGGTCCCTCCGCCTCCACGCCTCGGACGAGGCGGCCCGGAGCGAAGCGAAACTTGAAATCCTCAGGATCGTGGTGTCTGAGGTGGGGTGGCGGTTCCCCAGCAGCCAGAACATCCTTGACATGCTTCGGGCGTTTGCGACAGGCGCCATTCCGAACCTGGATGTTGCCGTCAAGCTGGGCACCACCCTGGCAGATGTCCACACGTCGAGACGCCACGAGTCACACCCTGACATCTTTGCCTTGATCAAAGCAAACCAGGATGCATCGCCCCTCGGTATCCCCCCGCACGAGTCCAGCCACGAGGTACTGGTCACGCTTGCGCAGCTGGTCGATACCGTCTCCAAACTGCGACAAGAAGCGCCCCCAGACCAGGTGACTTGCTCGGATGCCTATTTCTACCTGTCGAATACGCTGTTGGTATTCCTATCCGGCATCTCCAAGTCGGGCGCGTCAGGGATTCTCGCCTCTCCTTTCAGGCCGGCCGAGTCAAAGAGCCCCGTCAGGCCACGTTTCGCGGTCCTTGAGGAGCTCTGGCACGTGTTGGATGCACGCCGCGCCGACGGGGCGAATGTGGCGAAAGACGCAACCGAGGCGCTGAGGCATCTGTGCCGCATCCCACTGGACGGAGACGGCGAGTATCAGTCATTCTGGAAGGCGGTCTGGGACAAGACCGGGCCCAGCCACACGCTGCGCCACCGCACCGTGGCCCTGGGCATGATTCGCCTGCTCTACCTGCACAGACTGTGGGTCAGCACGCCGGCCGAGCAGCGGACAGTTCTCGAGGCACTGCGCAGCAAGATACAAGATGCGAGTGGAGACGTCCAACGGATCGCTGCGGACGTCCTGACCCTTTTGCTCTCCCGCAGCACACCCGCCGTCGTGGCGCCCTTCATCGGGGCCCTGGTCAAAGACAGCGCGGGCGCACTGCGTGGGGCAAGGTTACCGGGACAGGCGCGTATCGCACGCTTGGAGCTGGACGTTGTGGTTTCGGCGTTCCCCCCACCGGGGATGCCGTATGGATTAGCGGACGGGGCGGACTGTGTTGTGCGTTGGATGGAGGACATGCGGGATACGCTGGGGCACCCATCCGTGTGTGCTTGAAGGTGTTGACGACTCTCTTAAGTTAGGCTAGACTGAATGCGAATCAACTTTTTTTTGTGTGCGTGAAGCTACCAAGTGCGATTGTGATGCCCGCATTATGTACTGGCAATGCAGCTCCCCATCAGCTCCCATGTAAAGAAAGGTTCGATGGTCGCCAACACTCCATAAGATGTTGCAGGTCTTCCTCGCTAAACTTACACCCGGCAAGAACTGGTTTCCTTGGTGTGGGTTGGATAACTTGATTGATTACAAGGAAATCTATCTAGGGCGCCTGAAACTTTGTTGTGTGCCGCAGGGTAAATTATTCGACTAACCTTCCGTATCGGGTTAGGGCAACACTTGGATGCTTCACCTTGTTGTAAAATGGTTCTACAGAATTGTCCAGCGGATCGGGACTCATCCATTCCGGTCATGGGCAACGAGAAAACTTGTGACATCCCGTACAACCTTAGCTCCCTGACCGTAGGAGACAGATCCGGAAACGTATCGGTGTCGAGATTTCCCTTCGGGGGGCACACCACGATGTAAACCTCCCGAGCATGAGTCTCTGATCCACTCCAACGACCTGAGGGCGTCTAATTTCATCCAGAAAGAGTCATCCGGGTGGTTGGCGGCTTCGTGCACCATGATCATCAGCTGCCCCTCGTCGACGTTATACGCCGTGTAAGTCGGGTTGAACGTGTAGGGAAGGCCAATAACCTCGATCTACTCGGGCTCTGGTTGGCCGTGAACCTCGTCTAATGGGGGATTGATGCTCCAGCTGGTGAACGGGTCGCCCTGGAACGAAATAGGTAGCTGTAGCATGGCTGATTCTGTCTCATTCGCGAGCCGGCGGCATATTCCCGGCCATTCTTTCAATACCTTCCACTAAATCACGCCGATCCGAACGTAGCCCCCGCCGGAATCTAGTTGGTCGTGCGACTTTGAGCCCTGCAAGCTCCTCAGGTGTGTACTCTCGGAGGATTTATTGTCCCAAGGGGGTGCGGCCGGCAGGCTGGCATTGTCGTCTCCGGGATAGTCAGCATTTCTGCTTGCGAATCGGCGATTTAACGGCCCCGGGCGCGTGGCTGACTCTTACAGACCGGCGGTGCCGCTTGGATAATGTTGACGGAGCGTGAACAAAGGATTTTCACCTCCGCGGGGAGAGATATGTCCGTCGGTTGAAGGCCAGAGGCGGAGATGGAAATCAGCGCTTTGATACCCTTGGCGCGTGTCTGCCGCCTGCGAGGCAGTGCGACAATTTTGACGGGGGGTGGCCGTAATACTCTACTTTCCGCTTCCATGGAGAGAGCCATGTTTGCCTAGGTGGCTATTAGGTCATGTAAGTTAGATAGCATCAAGGGGGCGAAATGGAAATCCGGGTGCGTAACTACGAGCGTAGCTACGAGTGAAGCAGTGTTAAAGACCGTGAAAAATAGGTGATGTAGCGACGACTATGAACTCGGTTCGGACATCCAGCAACCGTAGTCCTGTCCTATTTCACTGCGGCCACAGTCTTCGGCAATTTATTAAGATCATATTTAACCAATGCAAAGCTATTTAGAGGATGACGAAAGATGCCCTCGGCTGGCAAGGTGTCAATTTTTCACTAAATGTCAGTAGAACCTCACATGAGTCGCTCCGCACAACAGCTGTGGACACTAGTACGACGCCCTTGTCCTCAATCACAACCCCGTATCCTTCATTCACCCTGTTGTCCAAGCTGTTCACTTTCGCCGGAGCGAAGCTGTTGACGTGGACTGAAGACGCTAGAGCTGTCGTTGTAACATCCGGGCATATTTTATCATTTCTGTAAAATATCGAAATTGAGGTGGATAGCCTAATCAGGCTTAGCGCTTATATTACGTAATTGGTAGGGTACTGGTTACTTAATTAGGCCTAGTACTAGGTGACGTCACTACTTACGTCATTGACTACGTCATCGCTTACTAATAGTGATTTAAGGGATTTCTTCCATCTTCTATTATTACTACTGGTTATCTAGATAAGGACACTCTCTTCTCTCTTAGATAGATAGATCTAACAAGACTTTCACAACCTAAGTTATGAACCCTACGATCGCTCCTAACCTTTCTAACACGAAGCAATACTTTTCTCGCGTCAGCAATCATCCCTCTCGCACTCCACTCTCACGACGGTCCTTGTTGTTGTAGAGCGGTAGCACCCTGGGCAGGACAGAAGACAGAAATCGCCACGGGCGAGCCGGCCGCGATGGATCTAGGCCGCCTGTCGCCCTCTCGAGGCGGTCCTTTATATCTCCTCCTCCGACCTCCCACCTGGCCTCTTCCTCTCGCCTCTCAACGTCTCGGCGGTGTAGAAGGGAGATCAGCCGCGTACTGTAGCCGAACCTCGTAGGTAGCATGAGGGGGTCGCAGGTTGACACTGTCAGTTGAACGCGGCGCAGACAACGCACGCGACTAATGGAAGAAAATACTCGACCGCGTCTAGGTTTTAGGGGCGAGTACCGCAGCTGGAGTTGCTCATCTCGTCCCGTCACACTCATTTTGGAGCCAAGAATGAAAAGGGCTGGAGTTGTTTGTTTTCCAGCAAGTGAACGGAAACGACGAGAAAAAGCGTCAGCCCAAGAACGCGAGATGATTGAAGAACGGGCCCCCCACCAACTTCGACCGTGGAAAACGCCAGGTTTGTTTCCTTCCATGGAATATCTGGTATGTTGTTGGCTGGAGAATTCCAGGGTGGTATTTGCTAAAACCACCGAATCGGGCGTTGGATATTTCCCCCCCTTGCTCGCAACCATCCCTGGCTCGGTGCTCTTTGTTCGCCCGCCAAAAGTTGCGGCATCCGAACACGGCTGACAGACATGTGGGCGATTTCCTGGCCCGCGACTTGACAAAACCAAGTGTCGGTCTTGGTTGCAGACCGCCCGTTTCGCATCGCCCTTTGGCCAAACTCTGACTTTGGCTGCTGACGTTAGGCTGTTGGGGCGGTGGGTAGAGGGCACACGGGTAGTGTGTTATGCTTTGTCTGAATGAAAAACGTTGGGCTGCGGGAAAACTCTCTACGATCCCGTCTCTTGAACAAAGGCCTGACAGCATAGACTAAGCGGAGGATCAACAAGCGAATTTCGTAGTTTCCGACGACACACAACTTATTGTCGCACGGACCTAGATTTGCCGCCGATGCTCATCCTACTTCGTTATCCACCATTCGCAGTGTAGGAGTTGGCTGTCGCAAGCGTGGTCACAGTGGCATCGGAGGGTCACGAGATGGCGGATCGCGGTCGAAAGGCCGCAAAGCATATTCAGTAAACGTGCATTGATTGTGTCTAACTCAAGGAGTGGATGAGACCAGGCTATTCCTAGGTCATGTATCGATATCACGTCATGTCGATAGCCGGATCTCAATCTGCATCTCAGTCTGAAACTCAGTTTGAAACTCAATCCTAAACTCAATCCTAAACTCAATCCTAAACTCAAACTCAAACTCAATTTCGCCTCTGTGGATCGACGCCATTCAACTTAGTAATTATCGCTTGATTAGCGAGAGTCCATGCGCATTACCTCGTTCCATTTCGCATCGATCATGGTCCACACCGGGTCGCCCTCATCCCAGTACTGCTTGACGCTGTCGAAGTTGTTTCTCTTGTCGCGAGTCCGGTAGACACTGTCGATCAGACGGACATCGGCGGTATTGCGAAGCAGTCGTAGTCCCAGTCCGCTATTGAATTCCCCCGTGGACATGTGGTAGAATTGCCGAGTCTTGTGTTCGAGCTGCCGCTGGACGCGCAGTGCGCCGTCTTGGCTCTCCCTCAACTCACTGTGGAAGGCCTGCAAGTAGCAGAGAGTGGAGGACGCAACGGCATCGCGAAACGTTTCCACCCCTTCAGCGGAGAAGGCGGTGCGACCGAGCTCCAGTATGCGGAGCTGCGGGTTCCGGAGGAGCCGCTTGAGCGCAGGCAGGGCGTCGTCATCGACGTAGTTGTAGCGCTGGCCGTGAGGCTTGGTAGTCTGGCTGGGCGAGAAGAAGACGGCGCGGATGGTCGGGTGTTCGGAAAACGCCTCGCAGATGGCGGAGATGCCGGTGCTGGAGTAGCCGTGGGACTGGAGAGCGACACGGACGAGCGATGTGTTGGAGTGGAAAGCTCTGGCGAGATGGAGAGCGCCCTCGTCGCCGATCGGATTCGTTCCCATCATGAGCGACTCCGGTTGCCAGCCTGCCTCGAGCGTCTCGGCGATGGCCTGGGCCCCCTTCACCCCAATCCCGTTGGCATTGAGGAACACGTTCTTCAGAGCGATGGCCTTGCCCTTCAGGTTGGTGAATAGTCGAGCCACCCCCTCGTCCCCCAGCTCCGTGTTTTCCAGGTCAAGAGTGCGGAGGTTGCGGGTCTCGATGATCAGTCGGGTGAGGTTGTCGACCGAGCTCAACCCAAGAGGATTTCTCTTGAGCCAGACATTGGTGATGGCGGAGCTGGTGACCATTGCACTGACCAGATCCTCAAAGCCCGCGGCCTTGATATGGTTGCCAGCCAAGTACCACGTCTCCATCTGGTCGGGCTTCTCCTTGATGAATGAGGCGATGGCGTAGCAACCGGTGGCAGAGATGATGTTGTTGCCCAGGAGGAAGTGCTTGACAAAGCTGTTTGACTTGAGTGAGTCCATCAGCGCCTCGATGTGGGTGGGGCCGACCACCATCTTGCAGAGGTCGAGTCGGTGGTCAGCATACACGACGCCGCTATCACGGTGCAACCTTGGACAGGAGGAATCGCTGTTAAGGGTGCAATTATGATATGAATTCTGAGACGAAAGAGTCTAACTAGCAATAACGCGCAATCCACGGTAGAAGAGTTCACAGATATTCAGCCTCGTGTAGGGTAGTCAGCCTTATGCGGGGTATCCCACACTTGGCATTTATCGAGACCGTGACATTACCCCCCTTTAAACCGCGTCTTCGTCCTCAAAGATTCCTAATATTTCTCCAGCAATTTAAGACATCTCAAGACGCAATATAATAAGTCTTTAACCAGCTTAACTAGGTAAGATAGTCTCCGGAATCACTTTCCTAGGTTTAATATAATCGCATGCCGTTCTAGTAGGTCTAGAGACGTCTTAGTAGTTAGTCGACTAGCTTAATAACGAGCTCATCCTTCCCTACGGCTATTAGTTTAGATAGGGTAGAGTAACTTCCGCGTCTCCGTTAGTGCATTTAAACTATCGAATGGCTCTTGTAGGAGGAGGTAAGTTATCGGAATCGTGTAATCATCGATTCGAGCTGATCGATTACATCCGTTTCCTCGTCTTCTTTATCCTCTTTAATCTCCTTAATTTCGTCGATTCATCAGGTTTATTTATCTTCTTAATTAGCCTCCGCTTACTAGTCGTGAAGTTATAATTAGCTGGTGGGCCGGCTTTCTTTAGGTATCTCTTATAGAATTCTTAGACTAGTTTATTACATCTAGGTAGTACCTCCTCCTAGTAGTACTATTATTCCCTATTTTAACCTATCTATTTCACTAGGTACTATAATCGACGGGCTTTACTGAATAGTCGTACATTATAGATATCTTTAACTTCATATTCTTCCTCTACTATATCTTCCCGTTCAACTACAATAGGTAGAGGCGGTAGTTAGATTTGACTAGGAAACAGAGTTTCCTCACTAGTTAGTGATAAAAGGGAGGTATGAAATACATTATAGATCTTTATACCTTTATCTAGCTGTAACTTATATACCCTTAGGTTTATAATCCCTACGACTTTAAAGAGCCCGAGTTATTTCGCATCAAGCTTCTTTAAAGGCCGATTCGTTTTAATATTCCGAGAATTTAGCTAAACTATATCTCCTAACTAATACGCTAGAGACGACCGTCTACTAGTATTAGCTTATACTATATAATAGGCTTAAGCGTAAGTAATCTCGTCCGTTATATCCTTATAGAGTTTCCGTATCTAGTCCGTAAACTCATCCGCTTCGCGGATGTCTCGTACGGCTCTCGCGGTAGTCGTACGTCCTTCTACGGGATCTATTTCCTAACGTATATAATATCCGTAATTTACGAAGAATAGGGAGATACTAGTCGTTTCTAATATATATAAGTTAATTATAAACTTAGCGATCGGTAACTAATCGACCTAATCGTCTTACTAGTAATTATAGTACGCTCTTAGGTACTACTCTATAATTTAGTTCGAATTCTCTAACTAACCGTTAGTTTCTAGGTGGAAGGCCGACGATAGCTTCCGACGAATATATAACCTTTTATAGACTTACTTCTATATAGTAGAGATAAACTAAGCACTACGATCTAAAGTAATAGCGTACGGTAGACTATAGCGAGAAAATATATATCGCACGAAAAGACGTACAACATTAACTATATCTATTACGTGACATAGAATAAAGTATTTTCATTTAGTAAATCGGTTGGTAACAGTCATAATGTTTTCGTAGTCCACCCTATCGGTTTTTCCTTTACTTTTCGGGAGTTCTACGACGAAATCCACCGTAATCTTAGTCTACGGATAGTCTAGTGTAGGTAATAGTTAAAGCTATCTAGAATAAGCCTATTTAGACGCTTTAGTCCTTCTATAAATATGATAATTCGTAACGTATCTCTTAACGTCCTTAAGGAGACTCGGCTAATAATATTCTCGTCTGATCGTCGCGAACGTTTTACTCTTTCCTAGGTGTCTAGTAATGGGAATGTCGTGAAATGTCTATAGTAAGCGTAGTCGTAGTTCGTTATTGTCTAGAATCTATAATCTATCCTAAAACTAAATCTTACCGTCCCTCTCCGCATAATCAGCTAGAGAGACCTTCTCAATAGTACTTAGGAGGTTTCGACGCCCCTCCGTAACTGCGTCCTAGACCTAATTAAGTAAAGGATTAACTTTATCGGTATACACTACTACGATATATTCCGATAGTGTAAGTTCTTCTCGTAAGACATTAGTAGCTAAAGCTTAAGCGGTTTTCAATTGACTTACGTTTAATACGCCTATCCCTTTACTAATATTATAAGGCTTAAGGAGGACTTGATTCTAATGGCGTATCCTCTCATCTTCGGGATCGATTAGCTTATCCTCTAGTCGTCTTATTAGGCTATTAGGCTTAGTCCCCTACCTACCTAGTTAATAATCGATTTTAAAATGGAACTCGGACAAAAACTCGCTCTACCTAGCTTATCGACGGTTTAGCTACTTTATCGTTATAAAATACTTAAGTAACTTATGATTAGATAGTACTCGGATAGGTCGTTAAGGATCGGCGCTAGTTAGTTTAGGGCGCTATTCCTCGAAGGCGCGGATGATCGCAAGTAGCTCCTTATCGTAGATCTCGTAATTACATTCCGTAGGCGTTATTTTCTTTAAGTAGAAAGCTACTAGTCGGAGCTTTCCGTCCTTCCCCTTTTACGAGAGTACCCCGGCGGTAACTAAGTTAGAAGTATTAACTTCTACCTATATTTCAGCATCTAGATTAAATAATGCTAGAATAGGCGCCGTAGTAAAGCGTCTCTTAAGTTCGTCGAATGCGGACTAGTAGGCGGGATTCTAACTGAATTAAGTGTCCTTTTTAGTAAGTTCCGTTAAAGGGCGAGCTACTCGTCTAAATCCTTCGATAAACATCCGATAGAAGTTAGTAAATCCTAGGAATAATAGAATATCTTTAACTAAACGAGGTATAGACTATTCTACTATTGTCCGGATTTTATCGGGGTCTATCCGAATTCCGGAGGTAGAGACGATTAAGCCTAAGTATTTCACCTCCTATATATAGAATTCGCTCTTTATAATATCTACGTATAGGCTATACTTCTAAAGACGCTTTATAACTTCGTCTATATGACGCTCGTGTTCTTATAGGCCATTGCTAAAAATAAGGACGTCGTCGAGGTAAGTAGTATAGAAATCGTTAAGGATATCTTATAAAGCTATATTAATGTATCCTTAGAAGGTCGATAGAGCATTATAGAGACTAAACGGCATCATAAGGTACTTAAATTATCTATAACGAGTAGTGAAAGCCGTTTTCCACTTATCGCCTACCTTAATACGTAAACGGTTAAAGGCTGAGATAATGTCGATCTTCGTAAAGTACCTCGCTTTATAAAGTTTATCTAAAGTCTCTCTCATTCGTAGGATAGAGTATCGGTTTTTGATAGTAATAGCGTTTAAGGCCCGATAATCCATATAAAACCTTAGCCCCCCTCTAGGTTTCTTTACTAGTAATATAGAAGAAGAGATAGATGATGTAGAAGGCCGAATCTACCCCTTTTCGAGGTGCTTACGAATATACTTCTCTATAACTATTACTTCTTGTTTTAACATTAAGTAAGGTCTCTTAAAAGGGAGTTTATAAGGATCTATTTCCGTAAGCTTGATTTTATAATCGATCCCGGGTCGATATAGAGGCAATTAATCTATATTCGGTTTCGAAAACAATAATAAGTGTTTATAATAGATCTAAGGTAGTTTCTTAGCGGGGTTCCTATAATCTTTCCCTTTTAGGGCGATATCTATATCTTCGGGGTTAGCCGTAAAATACCTTAAAGATGCGATATATAACGTATAGTGCTAAGTATTAGGATCGTTAAATTATCTCGAAGAGTCTCGTCCTTTATCGGAAAACGGGAGGAATAGCTAAGCGAACTCAACCTCATTTCTTTCTAATAGTTTATAGAGTTTCGATATTAAGACATTCTTGTATTCGATACCATCGATCGTTAGATCCTTTAGAGTAGACGGCCCTTATAGACTATATATTGTATATAACTATCGATAAGGTAAACATAATAAATAGTGATCGGAGGAGAAAGTTATAGACCGGGATACGAAATCTAGGACTACGTTATATTAGGTTATCTATAATATCCTAAGAATTAATGGGTATCCTAACTCTAGTATAATATAAAAGTGTATTCGTTCGTAGTGTTACCTAATAGCTAGGTCGAACTTAGCGAAGTATATAACTTCGATATCTCGACTATCGGTAAGCTTACATCCGCGAGATCGATCTAAAGTTCGGATGTAATCTTCTAATCGATTTTCTTCTAAAAATCGTCTATAGACGAAATACGTAGTAGCGCCGGTATTAAGCATAGCTTCACTTTTTACTATTGTAGGAGGGAGAATAGGAGATTCGAAAGGAGAGTTAATCTGATCGGGGGGTAGCGGTTAAGGAGCGCTTATCGTATAGTTTAAGAGGAGATGATCTACTTCCGCTACTTATAGTGCTATAAGTTTCAGGTATATCTTATCGCGTTTAGGAGTTAGTCGTCCTAGATCATATAAACGTTCACGATCTAGGACGTCTCGTTTCCCGATAACTCTAATAGACCGTCGTCTCTAGTATCTAATAACATTTCATCCGGATTGATAATACATTCCTTATCTAAGTCCGTTAGGTCTACTATATTTAAGGTAGATAGACCTATATCCTTTCTCTATTTAGTCATCTAATAATTAGCTTTCTTCGGTCGATAGCCTATAACGCCGCAGTTAAAGTATTTATCTTCCTTCTTAAGCTAGGCTAAAACTTTTAGATTAGTAAGATTAGGGGCCTAATCCGGCCGAGTTAATTTCGAGCCGGTTGACTTCATTAAGGCGGTCTTACTTTGGGTTATACGGAATAAGGTTACTTTAGGGGCTAACTTAGTCGCTTACGGGGTTATAGGAGCCGATTTTTGTCTAAACCTCCTATTAAGTAGGAAACGTTCCTTTTCTCAGTATAATTCGATCAAATCTTCCATTTCTTTATAGTCTTATCCTCCGGCATTATATACTAGACTCTATAAATTATCGTCTAGCTTATTGATAAAATTAGCGATTCTTTTAGATTCCGCTTTATTAAGGAAGACTATATATCGTTAGAACCGAGCTAAAAAGGCGTTAAGTCGCTCGTTAGACGTCTTCTTAAGTTAGTTATATTAGAGTCGCGCTTCTTTATCGTAGTAGTGATCTCTATAGAGCTAATTAAGGTGAAGAATAATATCGCTAATACGTAGGTACTTCGTACTTTAATCCGTAAAAGGTGTATCCGGAAGGTAAGGTTCGACGTTTTAGTAAGCGTCTCCTATTAGTCGTATACTAACGTAGATAACCGCGGCGAGAGCTCCTTATGATCTCTATATCACCTCTTCTACTTTTAACTTATATAGGATCTCACTACGCTACTCGTAATACTTACTCTTAGTTCCGTTAAACTTAGGCGGATCTAACACTCTTATATAAGGGATAGTGCCGGTTACTCCGGTCGTATACGGAGTAAGTATAGGGACTTAATTAGCGGGACGGGGAGGTACGGATCCTCGCATCGATAACCCCCGAACTCCTAGGGTGCTCCTTCGACTCGCGCGAGTGAACTAATAGGTGCGATACTAGTCTAAATCATCTTAGATATTATATCCTCCTATTACGGGGTTCGGAGATTAGGAACGATTACGATTAGGCGCCCTAGGCGGTTAGATCGCGGAATTGTAGAAAGCGTTAAGTAGAGGCTAAGTAGTGTTCCGAGGCGCGACTTATAGGACGGCTATAAGTCTCTATACTTCTTATTCTAGTTCTCTATAGGTAGCCATCTATTAGGTATAAATGTCTTCTAATCGCTTCCGTTCCGTATCGTAGTCATTTAGCTAGTTCTAAATATCCATCATCTAACTAGTTTAATCTTGTACTTTAGTAGTTAAGTCTACTACCTCTACTTCTAAACTCGAAACGCGTTCTCGCTATTCTTATACGTCCTAGGGGTTAGGTCGATTAACTTAATTCTATAAACTCGAGATCCGTTCGTCTCGGTCTTTCTTCTAAGCTATAATATGATTATAAAGGGTCTTATTCTTTATCCGATAACTAGTAATCTAGTCTTTTAATAGGCTAACCTAGGTATAAGCTTAGGTATAACGACCGGTAACTCAGCGCATTATAGCCAAGAGAAACTCTACCTCCATCGGTTCCTCGATAAAATGTTTTAATGATGCGGTTATCGGAAAATAAAGGTCTTTAGGGTCGAAATAAGCGGGTATCTTAGGGGCTACGTCTTCTCCTTAGTCGTTCTTCTTCTATCGTAGTGCCTAGCTTTAATTAACACCTAACTTAACGGTATAAGGTATACACCTCGGTTCGTTTAAGTTCTAAGGGGCGTTCGCTATAGGAGCCGTAGGCGGAAGAGGTACATCCTGTTCATCTTCGGGTATAATAGTATAGTTACGTCCTTATCCTTACTCTTACAGCCCTTCTTACGCACTATTAGGTAGCTAAGAACGACGAGGGGGAGGTAGTTGTAAAGGTGACGAGCTCCAGCTACTAGGCATCGAAGTTACCCTTAAGAGGGGGTTTGCGGAGTTCGATGCGAGGGGTTAGTTTTATATAGTAGCTAGACTCCTTAAAGATTCGGTAGAACTTCGGGTTAGAGGTTGATGTACTAGCGCTATAAGTAGAGCTACTAGGGACTAGGCCGGTAATAGCGGTATTAAGGAAAAGGACGACTAGGTGAACTAATTTAAGCGTCTAGCGGTCTACGACGAATTCTAGGTAGGAGGATCGAGCTTAGGAGGATCAGATAGTTCCGCTATAAGGTTGTTAATGCCTAAAGAGTCGTCATTCTGATTTCGAGATAACTAAGACGGCTGACGGGAGCGAGGCGCGCGTCTAGAGTTTAACGACATAGTGGTTTTTTTAAATAACAAGAAGTGAGTATTTCGTTGTTCTAAGTAGCTAGGTTTGATATCATCTCATGCTAGTTACTATAGGACAAGTTGAACTTAACAAAAGAAATTTCAAGGGCACGTCTTTAACTGCGGCGAACTTAGTTTGATACGATCTTATACAAGTTCTCTAGGAGTCTTCGAACGTGTCTTGAAGAGTTGTGTAAATAAGAGAGGTCTCAGAAAGTATCACGGTGCAACCTTGGACAGGAGGAATCGCTGTTAAGGGTGCAATTATGATATGAATTCTGAGACGAAAGAGTCTAACTAGCAATAACGCGCAATCTACGGTAGAAGAGTTCACAGATATTCAGCCTCGTGTAGGGTAGTCAGCCTTGTGCGGGGTATCCCACACTTGGCATTTGTCGAGACCGTGACAGCCGCGATTGAAATCGACCATCGGCGTCCCCCAGATCAGCTCGTGGCCCACCCGCAAGTTGTGCGCTTTGTCCTGACCTGGAGCGTGCTTCGATCCGCCAGGGAGGAAATCGTTCGGGTCCATGTCAGAAGCCAAGAAACGAAAGCAATCCTTGAAATGCTCCTCGTCGCCGATCTGCACAGGCATTGGCCGAGCTACGGGACCGGTCAGAGGGATGGGATCAAGCTCTTGCCCAGCCCACGGTCCTTGCAACTCCGGGCTCACCTTGAGAGCCTCCTTGGTCGCCTTGTCGTATTCCTCGTTGGCTCGGACAATCTTGCAGGCTTTCCGACGACTGGCCTCATAATGGATGATTGCTTTGTCAAGACTGTAGTCGGGGAAGAGGAGTTGACTGATAACCTGCACCTCCTGTCTCACTAGGCGCGACTTGCGGCTCGGCAGCTTCTTGACGTTGCTCGGGATTGCATGGGATTTGAAATCATTGTCGATGGCATGCTTGAGTACTTTGACGGCCTCGAGAATGTCTTGGTGAAAGACCGACAACAGCTCCTCATCGGCAGGACTGAGATTGAGAGAGTGTAGAATGGAGTTTTCTGTCAGTTGCTGATCTGTCTCGGACGCCATCATGGATGGTAGTTGGTGGATGGTGGATGATGGTAAGATGGATGTTGGCCAAGAGGTCAGAGAGAAACGAGCTACTTATAGTCGACTGAAGCAGCGACAGGCCCCACTTGCGATGGCAGTGGACAAAGAAGGCAGTGGGTTAAGTCCGGGAGGATGACTCCTGTTTCCACTAGGATGGAGCCAATCAAGGTAAAGAACACATTCCTTACAATCGCAAACGGATATGAGTCACAAAGCGTGTCTGGGATCCTTTGTTCAATAGCGCCACGACTCACAATGAATACAAGGCAGTACATGTGAGCCGTGAGCCTTTGTCCTCCGGGCCTTTGTTCTCTAGGCCTTTGTCCTTTGATGCTGCCCCAGGGCTCGTCCCAAGGTCTGACGTAGGATTCATTCGACAACATCGACGCCTGCAGGGCCAGTGAGCTCTGATGAGATGGTTGCAACCGTTTGGAGGCGATATTGTCTTGGGCTTCCATCAGGGACACGGGCTCGGGGCAGAACTCAAAACCGCCTATACCAGCTTTCACGAAGTGCACCGGAAGTGTAGGAACATCTTCCTCCTACATTAGAGCCACGCTAGAGACCCGTCCTATCGTCTCTCGCGCGCCCACTGGCGAGCGATAGTCAACCTGGCCGGCGCCTTCGGCAACTGCGTCGTCGACGTGCTGCTGGCCCGGTATCAGGCCGAATGCAAACGCGTCATGTCAGGGGAGATAAAGGTCGAGACGGCCGTGCCCAACAACCAGATCATCCAGGTCGTGTTTTCCTTCTGGGACGCCCGATTCTACCAGCCCTCCGCGATTTTGCGCCGGCAAGCCTATTCAAATCAAGACGACGGCGGCCAACGGGTCATGAAAAAATGCCAGCGCCGCATCGAGGAGCTCACCAAAAGCACCATCACCCTGTGCTCGCTCATTGCCAGGGAAGTGCCCCGATTCGAGAAAGACTTTTTCAACTACCAGGCTCGGGTTTCGGAGTACATATCCTTAGCAGCTGTGTCTTTTGGTTTCGTCTCTCTGGCAAGAGCGCCGACGGCGAGCGGGAAAGGTGAGGGAGTCGCCGTCCTCAGCCCGGCCGGCTATGCCGACCCGTCCTCTATAGAATACCGCAAGCTGGTCGATCTCGAGCCCGAGTCCGCTCGGGCCAATTTCGACATGGCTACTTGCTCTCCAAGCCTGTCTCTCGAGCGCTTCTTATACCTGTCCAGGTCGCTGCACCTGGAGCGCGAGGCCACGAAAATGACGGAGAAGTTCGCTAGAGCACCGCTAGTGCCATGCCTTGTTCCCGGAGGCCTCCCACTCCGGCGCCGTCGAGAAGAACGCGGAATCCGAAGCATGGGGCACGCTCTCGCTCCAGACGTATGGCGCCCTCGTGGGCCGGCCCGCCGAGGACCAGTACGAGAAGGCCGTAAGCAGCTTCCTGGAGGCTTTCACGGCGTTCTCAGCAGACAAATGCTCGCGTTCGCCAAGGCTTGATGCACATGCAGGCACGGCGTAGCGTCTCTGACTCTTTGTCTAGTCACTTTGTTGCCATCCCGCTCTGCTCGGCCCTGCTGGCCTACACCGACGACCTCGGCCTCGGCATCGGCGGTCGCGCGAACCAGAGCCGCCAGCTGTACTCTACAAGGACCTCAAGCTCAAGACCGGCGTACGTCGGCTCGCCGTCTGGACTTTCGGCAGCGTGCTGACCCAGAAGTTCAACCCGGCCAGGCGTTCCCTCCTCCACGTCGTCATGGTCTTCTTGTACTCGGCCAAGGCCGGTGTCGAGGAAGTGATTGCCATGGAAACGATCTGCTCGATTCTCAACAAGATTGCCAACACCTCGGGAGTGAGCCAGGCGATCCAGCTCGAGCTCGAGGCCCCACTTCCTCAGTTTCCGCAAGACGCCAATGCCCGCCGAACGTGAAGGCGACGTCGCCAGCCGCGCGGCATCCGAGGCTGCGGCCGCAGCGGCAACAGCGGGAGGGGGCGGCAGGAAAAATGACGACAGCCACCGCCACCAGGCTTGACAAGTACGAGCCTGTTTTCGGTAGGAGGGTTATCCGAATGGGAAATACCTAGAGGTTTTTGTGACCCGACAAACAATCTTTCTGAAATTTTGAAATGGAGAGGAAATTCAGCCTGCCATGTGACATGCAGCCTCGCTTAGTTATCAAGTACGGTGGACCATCAAGTGCCGCCTCGGAACATCTCCTCCCCGAGATCTACGGCTTGGCCAGCCTCGACTGGACCGCTGCTTACCTGGACGCGACCCTGGTGAATAGGGCTTCCTCTCCTAGACATGCCGACGCCGACGCCGACGCCGATCGGCTAAGAGTGGAGCTGTCAGCTTTCGAAGCGGAACGCCGAGGGTGCGTGCTGAAGCTCGGAACGGCCACCGCACGAGGCGAGACCACGTCCCTACGGTACGACGGCGAGGGACGTCGCTTCTGGCTGGCGCCGGAGCGCATCACGGACGCGGGCCAATGGGGTTCCCAGGGACCAAAGCCGGCGGGGCTCGTGGAGCCGGTGCCATGGCCACGGCGAGAGCGAAGCGTCGGGCGACGATTGGAGGTCCGAGATGGATACGCCAGAGCATTCGAGTGGAGGGGAGGAGGAGGAGCAGCAGCCGGAGAGTGAAACGTCGCGCAAGGACGAGCCGAGCGGCGTCGGCTTTCCGGATCATGGCGCTAGGGACGACAGCAATGCCGAGACCTTCGACTCGGGACCCTCCAGTCTGTGGGTCTGGTCGCCAAGACTGAGGCGCAGGAGACGGACAAAATGATGCCATGTATGTTGGCCGAGCTGGCCGAGCTGGCCGGCGACTGCGGTGAGTCGAGTCCTCACAAAGCGAAGTAGTAGGGAGAACGTCGGGAGCGACGGGCAACTCGGGAGCGAAGGGGACGTCAGCAGCCATGAGTCAGCCAGGAACGACAGACATGTCAAGAGGCGCGAGGAGTTCAGGCTGTTCGAAAACTTTGACGCCGACGCCAAAGCACTGCGGGAACTGATGTAACCGCTAAGGATGGCTTACAAAAAGAAGGCGCTTCACAAGACGCGGGATCGGCCCGCGTAGCCGGTGAGAACTGACATCGTCAGCGAAGAGCGGAGCGTGTCCCTCAGCCGGTCGATGCCCAAGGTCAAGCCACGGGCCGTCCATGCCATCATCGGCCTCCTCGGCATCTTCCTAGGTCTACTTTTAAGTATAATCGGCCTTTCGTTTGTGTTGATCTTGGAACTAAGCCGGGAAACGCTCGTGCAGCTGCAGATGATCTTCTTTGTCCTCTTCTTGCTGTGCCTGGTCATCACGGCGGCTGCCATCGTGTTTACGTTGCAAATCGCGCCGGCCGAGCGGATCTTGCTGGGAATATAGACCGCGGACGGGAATGGGGAGGGACCTCTGGAAAGCTTCGCTGCCATGTTTGCTCGTGTTTTGTTTCCCTTACCATATTCCGCGTACCGGGCATGGATACGCTATGTGACGTCTGGAGGTAAGTTACTTTAGTACCTGCCTTCGGATTAGTGTTAATGAGAGCTGTTGCCTTTCCGATCGCATCTTTATCCGTGCCCGCTTCTGCGCAGGGGACCCTGTATAATCACGCAATCACTCACTCACATATTGATCCGCCTACCTACTTACGTAGACCTCGAGGATGAAGATACAAAAGAGCGATACGTCAAAAGCGCGCTACGACGCTGATTCTAATTCTTGATACTCGGCTCCGGGACGAGTCGCGTCGTAAGAAGAGCCCTTACGCCGAAAGTAAGCACTTGATGGTAGAACCTACTTGTTTACAGGCGAATTACGACCAGCACGTGGCCGAGCATGGCAGATCGCGCTCTACGGATATTTCGTTATACTCATCTGATGTAGATGTGCTAATTGATCTTCCGTTCTGATGCTCACATGATGTGCTAGTTGAGTGAGCGGGGGCGAGGTTGCCCTCTAACTACATAGATCTTCCATTACTCTCCTAGAAGATGAAAAAAAAAAAATGTCGCGAATACGAGATAAGGATAAGAGACTTCTAGTCCCATACCACATGATTCAAACTTACTCATGTTATGGCCCCACACACAGTCACTGTGTTGCAAGCCATCCTTACGACTCATAGCCTTTCCACTTCCCAACCTCTCCCCTGGCCCTTGGCCGACGCGTCCCGAAGAATTCGTCGGCGCTCCCCTTTTCATTCCTGCCCAATTTGGAGGCGACAACACCTCGGCCCACACCGAGGTATATACATTGTTTCCCGACGCCATTACTGAATCATTCTCGAGCTCTACCTCGCTGCCAGTTCCGGATGGTGTCTTAGTAAATGATCCACCTACATCTTGAAGATCGAGAGCCATTGCACGTGTCAAAGTCGTACGGGCAGAGCACCAGAGCGCCGCCCTCGGAGCCCTTGCCGCCGAAGGTAACCAATTACAAGTCCCCGACAGAATTTGTCGGGGCGTGTTGATTGGCTGTTACGAACCGCCAAGCACACCGCGCGCACGTGACAACCCATTATTATTTAAGCACCGTATGCTCACCGCCTGAGGGAAGCTTCCCTTTCCTTCCCTCATGCTTTGAGTCTTAGTTAAGATACACTATCAAGGAATAACCATACCTACCTGTTACCTATCGCTGCCCTCTGCCTATATACATAGGCGGTTCCTGACAGGTGCCTTTTGTCTAGAGCCTCTCTTCCTACCGTATTTGACAGGACAGCTTCGGCTGAACGAGGGGTTGGAATTGCTCTGTTTATCGGTCATTGGAGGAAAACTACCCGAATGTGCAAAAATGGGCTGGAAAGGTCCAAAAAAAATGATGAAGGTGTCGCACTGCAGCTTGCAATAGACCCGGTTGGCAGAATCTCGGTGGGCACACATCAATGAATCTCAATTTTTGAAGGTTTGCATGAGGTAATTAATTGCTGTCCTTGCACAAAGGCTCTTAAATGCAGTGATTAGGCCGCCTACCATTATACAACAGCCCACGGAATCAAAGTCTGCCCGTAACTCCCAGACACTTCGTCAATCTTTCCTCTCCGGCTCGAGCCCTCCAGCCATCTAGCTGTCCTCGGTGTGCTTGACACGCTGTGTTCCCCCTCGGACTTCTTGATCGTTCTTTTTATGCTTGGTAGTGACGTACGTGTAGTAGCGTTTAACAGAGGTCTTCCTTATGGCATGGATTCTTTGCGCTTGGGATGAAAATGAAGGATGGCAATAATTTCATTCAGATAGATAGGTTAAAATACAGAGACGAGCGTTCCGCTCCAGAAACCAGACATGCTGCCAATCAGTGATTAATAGCTAGTTGCATTGGAGGCCAAAGATAAACGGCAAACTATAAGCACCAGACGAGGAACACCATGCTACAAGCAGACCACACAATCAGAATGATAAATGTTTTTTGAAAAAAAAAAACTTTAAAAAAACCTTAAAAAACATGATGAAACTCTAGCCTCCCATGCTTACTGACCTTATCTGCCGTAGTGCCGCTCAAGGCTCGCTCAAGGCTCGACACACGAGTGCTGGCTCGAAGGGCGCTGCTATAGGCTTCACGACGGAACTCTCGATCCTCCCACAGTCAGTCCTCGTAGCTTGTCCTTTGCACACACAGTCCCGGCCAGGTGATCAGGCTGGCCGGGACCGTGTCTTGTACGCCGACCCGAGAACTGGTTGATCAGGACAGTTTTCGGGTCGGCACGCGCCGGGTGTGTCCCTTCTTCTTCCTGCCTTCTTTCCTCCTACTGACGGAGCGGACTTCACACACCTTGACTCACCAGGACAAACACATGTCCAACCGGACGCTGGACGGTGTCGGGGAGGCAGCCTGGCGGAGGTGATTTGCCACGGTGTATTTCCTCGAACTATACGAGCTGCTGGTGAAAGATAAGGATGTTGAGATTGATATGAAAGTGCCAGCGCCGGGTTCGGTGTTATTCCTCTGTAGCTGTTGTAGCCGGCTGTTCTTCCTACCGTTGCGGCTGGGTGACGGTGCTGGTGTGTGAGCACTGGCTGCCGCAGGCCGTGCGCATGCCGTGTCGGGATGTGGATAGTAAGCTCCCGCGGGCGGCATGCCGTATCGACTGGATGATGGGCGGTGCGAGTGAGTTGCAGAGCGTTCGAAGATGGTCGTGGAAGAGCGCTTGGTGCAGCTCACCGAGAAAAGACGGGAGACTCGCGCTGAGAAGCGCGTGAGGGAGGAGATCGACGCCAGCCCTGAGAAGGAGGAGCCCGTCACGGTATGCTCAAAAGAGCGCGGGGCAGAAGTAAATTTGGCTGAGTAGGGGGTGTTGGAGGCGTTTGTTTTTGAGAGTGTGTTTACGAGCGAAGCTGTAAGGAGGCACCCAGTGAGCCGGGAGAGAAGATTACTGATGCCATCGGATAAAAGATACGCGTAGTATGCCTAATAGTACAGTGGATGGTTCTGTTAGGCTTCCAGAGACAGCGCAAGGACTAGCACGAGAGCTAAAAGGTGAATTTGTTCGGATAACGCCATGATGAGAGGGTAAATAGAGGGGCTGGAAAGTATCAGCACGGATAAAAGAATTCCTTTCCGGAGGGGAGGCTAAGTGCCCATGTATAAATAGATGCCTAAGTGCGAGAGCATTCCCAAGGAAAGTACAACAGTAGATACTAAGGTTTTAAGCCTACGATAGAGGCAAAAGACAAACACAAGCAAGTCTAGTAATTAGTTGCACCCGAATGGGATGGGTGCGGGGGTTCGCGTCGTAGAGTCAAGTCCAATCAGCCCCCCCAAAGGGACGCGACGTGGACGAGACGCGTCACTGTTGCATTGCATTGCGGTCCGAGAAGGGATGGAACTATGATACGCCTGGTACTTTCTATAGCGTGATACAAATGCAAAACCGCGTCTAACATACATTGTCTTCTTTTTCTTATCGACTGCTTAGTACGCCGCTATCTGCGGGAAAAGGCTCATAAGCGGTGAATATTTCTCTCTCAGCGCTCGCAGCTCCTTCTTTGGTGCTTCTTCCCGCGGGGTCTCCCTTTCCTCGGGTTCCGAGTTTGATATGGGCCGGCCTTGAGGGTAATTGATTTCCAGTGTTTTGAATTCAACGAAGCCTATCTACTGCACGTCTTCCTGCAGCAGGTCTTCTCGCCGCACCACGTCTGTACCCTTCGCGGGGTTTCGGGGCTCAGGTCAAAGGCCACAATAAGCTTACCGGTTGACAGTTGACCCAAGGATCTGGTTCATTACGTATGAAAGATGCCCGGAGCTCCGAGGTGTGCCACTCAAGACGGACCAAGTGGTTGTGCGGGGGCGCGTATATGGCACCTCTGTTCAACGAGACCGAGGCCAGATGTTCCGCATAGTTGGTTTCGTCGACATTGAGCTGGCCGTGCGGGCGCCGCAGGAGGGGAAGAACGAATTCGATACCGACCATGCACTCTCCGAACCGTATGGTGTTAGGCAATGGGCTAAATCTGACGGTGATTTAGTGACGGTGTATATCGTATGCTTTTGGTGGGTTTGGCCTTTGGCCCGTGTGGGTGGCGCGGCTAACCAACCAACCCGCCTGCGGGTCTCCAGAAAGATTTGTCACGTAGCGGTCTGTGTTGCCGGTTACCGTTGGATCGAGGATTTATTTATAGCGAAGGATGGGTTTGGTGGGGCTGTGGTGTTGGACGTTTGTGGCGTTGTGGTCTGCTTTCGGAGGTTTCGCTCGGAACACAACAGGAAATCGATCGCGGTCGATGCAACGCGTCAGGGGTGCTGTAAGCCCAAGGGTCAATGCTGTGCACTGGGGATGACAGGGATACGCGTTGGGCATGTATCGGTAGAGTCGGGACCGATACTTTATTTGGGAGAAGGCTGTAGTTGGAGACACGATGGCTACGGTGAGGAGGCAAGGATGGTGATCACATGCAACGGCTATTGGGGAGGGGGCAACGGCTGCTGCTGTCCCATGCTCAACCTACAACTACAAAAGCCATCGAGTCCTCTCTCCGACCTCATTCGAGGATCTGACAACTACTCTCTACTCATTCAGACAAGCAGTAACAGACAAGTAACTGGACACGAACAACCACACACATAACCACACACATACACAACCAGTACATAATCATCTCCAAACCACTTCCCTGTCCGTCCCTACCATTGAATTGGACCGAGAACCTCCAAGCCGCTTCAACACCAGTTGGCCGCACATACTCCGGCCCACCTAGCCACTAGAAAATGGACTCCCAGATGCAAAATTATCAGGGACAAGAGTACCCTCCCGAACAATAAGGAATCTGCGGCGTCTCCCTGGAGAACTGGAAGACCGTGTTGGAGACAGCCTCTCGCCCGACACCAGAGCTTCAGCGTTGTAACTGAGGAGCCCAACGGAAATAGCATCGTCCTTCATGTTCTGTAGT